TTATACCTACTAGATTATGATGCCGACGTGATGCAAACACCCGGGAAGCACAACTGCGGGAGGGAGCATATGAGGATAACCCCACCGCCGGGAAATTCCCCGGTTAATATCGAGATCACTCTCTCATTATCTATTTACAGTACAGAGTACAGGGACTCTTCGGGTTCTAGAATCGGGCAGAATTACGAGAGTCTAACAAAAGGCGCCTTGAAGATAGAAATATTAATCAGATGATCATTCCACATTTTAAAAATGGCAAAAGAATGGTTGATAAAGTTGACTGCCGGCTATGTAATTGTATGAGAGTTTAAAGTCTTCAGTCATGCCAGTCTCTTAAACTATATACTCTATAGCCCCTCTAGGGACCAGATAGGCCAACAATAAAGCACCCCTTGTAGATTGTCGATAAAATCTCCTCTCTTTGAGATCATGTCCTTGGTCCCGTTGTGCCCCGAGCTGATCTCGTCTATCCAATTCCGGAAGTTCTAATCTCATCCTCAGCACACATGGACGGTCTTCCATTCGTCTTTGCCTCCGGGGTATCACATGCTCTTCGGTGGAGGTCAAGTGGAAGCGAAAAGTGCAAAGTTAACATGACGAATATGGGCCCCATTTTCAGATCTTTTACATAGGAGGGAAGATGCAAGCGCCATTGCTTAACGGGTCTTGCGGGACTCATTCTCCTTGTGTTGATGGTCGTGCGCATGCGCCTCATGCACCGCATCAATATCGCTCTCTTGCGGCTCGGGGTTACTTTGTCTGATGACCTCTGGAGCGATAAACTCCTCTGTAAAGTCCAAATGCTCCAGTTCGGAAGGAACAAATCGGATCTTGAGCCGCTTGACCCCGCGCACAGCCGCCCCGACGGCATGTCGAACGGTCTCCTCAATCTCGCGAGATCGGCTGAGTGGCCAAGCCCCCGGCACCGCTAATTCAATCTCCATGAGGTAGTTTTGTCCAGATTTCATACCCTGAACGTCCCGGATCTGAATCGCGTGTGGATCTTCGAGTTTGGCAAGGATCTTGGCTGCCGCATTGCGCACGGAGTCTTTGATGTCATCATCAACCGTAGTGTCTGCCAGTTCGAGCAGGGATGTCGCAGTATTGGCCCACCCAGCCTTAATCACCATCAGTGAAATGAGAAGGCCACCGACGGGATCAAGCCAAGACGCATCTTGAAACATGTAAGATCCGCCGATCGTGACCAGGGCGACGATGCTAGTGAGAGAGTCGATGCGGTGGTGTACGGCGTTGGACGCGAGCACGGAAGATTTGCGTTCATTTGCAATTTTCATAGCTAGAAATAGCAACGCGCAGCGGTTAGCTGATAGCCACAGTAACGTAGGGAGAAATTAGAAGTGAGCACTCACTGGCACGGTAGAGCCATTCCTTCACAATAACTGAACCCCCTGCAAGCCATGCCGCATTGATATTTGGCCCAAGGGCCTGGACTCCGTGTGCATGTGAGTGGCCATGACCCACAACTCCCGAGTGAGCGATCGCCTCCGCAGCCTCGGGAAAGAACTGATCCAGTAGAACTTGTCCCGAATTCAGGCCCATAAACACACCCCCACAAAGCAGGAGTCCGCTCACGCCCAATGCACCGATGCTTTCAATTTTGCCGTAACCGTTTGGGAATCTCTCTGTAGGGGGCTTCAGAGACCACGCGACGGTTCCTAGTGTAAGAAAGTCGGATACGAGATCGGTAAGGGCATGATAGGCATCGGCAATCAAAGCTTGCGAGTGGAAGACATAGCCGCCAATGAATTTCCCAATTGCCATGGCGAGGTTGGCAACCAGGCCAATCCGTGTGATTCGTACTCCAGCGTCGCTTTTGTTCGCAGAGGTGAGGTAAACATTTCCGTGATGATGATGGTGATGGTGAGAATGGCCCCCATGGCCACCGTGTTCTCTGGTTTGAGTTGCCATGAGTGAAGTGGTTATGAGGTTCGGGGTAGATCTTGTCTTTGTTGATGGTGTTAATAAAAGACGTGGAAGGGAGCGGATGCGAGCATTGGAGGAGAGGGGGCTCTTATGGCGCTGAAGGATCGTTGATGTACAAAGGACTCGCTTCAGGGGTAAGAGACGCGCGCCAGGAGTGGAAATGATACCGGACCGTCCACTGAATACGGGGCGGCGGAGGACAGAAGTTGATGGTGGTGTTGTTGGTGATGGACGACCGGCCCTACACCGCAGGGGCTGCGTCAGCGGCATCAGTGCGACGCACGTACTCCCCGGGGAGTTAAGTTTAAATGTTTTAAGGCACGCGACAAATTAGAGGCAGCAGATTAGTTGGGGGTTGATTCGAAGGCTGCGGTAGCTCAGGACACTGTGTTCTTCTTGGCTGTACCCATGTCTGGTGAGGGCGGATCTCCAAAATAATTGATGGATAATATTAACTAGTTCATGTTATTCTGTAAAGAGGTACACACAGCATCTTGAAGGGTAGAAACCGGGAAAAAGAGATTCAAGAACGGTTTTGAATCAGCATCCGGCTGAGCCAAAGCCGACATGTGCTGACAGGCTGACCTGACTGGCCCATCGGCTCAAAGCGGGCGGTTCTCCCTCCCGACGGCGGATCTGCCCTGGTGCATGCTGTATCTATTTACTGCTTATGAGGGGGGTGAATAATGATCGCAGATTTTACTGTTCTCGCTTCCAATAAGAGCCAAGGAACGCTTCTATATTGCTAACCCTCAGAAGCTGGACCATCGTCGCTCAATTGTAGTTGACAGCGCTGATGCTCAACATCGTCATGGAAACTGAACAGCAGAAGCACTATGATATCAGCCCAGTGGAGCCTACAGTCCGGATGCTTGGCGGTGCTCTGCCGATATCGCCAACTTTTTCGAAACTGCGGATGCCAATCTGGAACAAGCAACTTCATGAAGACCAAGCATCAATCTGGACATGTGAAGCTGCAAGTTTCCACAACCCAGAAGGCGTGCGCGTTCCCCCTCTGCCAAGAAACGTCCACGCATGTCTCGTGGCGAATTGGATGGTGCATATTCGAATGCGTAATCCTCTACGCCTCCTCGGACTCTCTGCATTAATTGAAGATAACTGTGGCTTGTCGGAGCCCTGCGCAGTCTAACTTAGATCCTCCCTTTCTGAAACGGTGCGGAGAGTGCTTTGGGCTCTTGACAAGTTGATAGTTGTGCATTACGAGTCATCAACCACGTCAGCTCAGGCCCTCATATGGAAGCGCGCCGAGACTCGTCGAATTGAGGTTGAGCTCGCAGGAGGTGTTCATGCTGGTTCCTCCACTCATATTGAAACCATTTGATAAAGTCGCAACCAGTGAGGAGTTATGGTTTGCGACTGCTTCATATTCAAAACACTTGTTACCATAGGACTAGGCCTCAATGATCCGAGGACCAATTGTTTGAACTATTTAGTGGTCCAGTACTCGCTGAATTGCCTCCATGGTCCATCAATAGGAGCGAAGTACGAACTGCAATCGTACCATAGCTGGAATGACTGTCTCATACGAAACTTACCTTTTCGCTTAGGTTGTAGAGAAGAACCAGCACGAAAAGCAGACTAGGCGTTCTGAAGTCATCACATTGACTAGGGCGCGATATATCTAATGCATGCTACCAGGAGTAATGAGGAAAGATAGTCCTCTATGCCATAACTTATTCTCGGGGTGAAGTTCAGCAGGTTGATTGGAGCTGGTACTTGAGTTCTCAACAGAACATGAATGCCAAGACAAGCAAGCATGTTAGCTCAGGGGAAGAGCGCCGGGCTCATAACCCGGAGGTCCCTGGATCGAAACCAGGACATGCTATCTGACTCTTTTTTTTCCCTGCCCATTCCATCGTCCCATCATACCTTGCCCATCATTCTTTTTTTCATCTTTCAGTCTGTCTATCCTTTAATTACTAAGTATTACTTTCATAGCCCCTCAAAATGTCAGAGGCCCTTCAATGTGCTGTGACTATACTCAGGCAGATGTAGTGAAATGAAGCTCAGTCTTGGACGTTCCTGACCATCTTTGACCTGGATCCTGGAAAAAGTACAGGCACTTGGTCATCCCCCCCATTCTTTCCAGCAATGAGCAATTTGTAATGAGCAGTCGCTCTTTTGAATGAGCCACAAATTGCAATACGAAGGTAATCGCTGCCATAGGCCTATGTAACCAAAAGCAGAGAAGAACATTAATCCCAAGCATGTTAGCTCAGGGGAAGAGCGCCGGGCTCATAACCCGGAGGTCCCTGGATCGAAACCAGGACATGCTATCTGAATTCTTTTTCTTTTTTTCCTTTCCCATTGTGGTTGACGAAGTCACACCCTTTTTTTAAGCTGATACGTTCCCGGATAAGCTCATAACAAGGTAAAAATGCGGTGATCTTCTATTCACGGAGAAGATGCATTAAACTAGACTATGACACTTTAATTACCCTTGCCCAGGGCCGCTGTGGACTACCCCTAAACCTCGTGAAACTTGCATAGCGATTCTCCTTTCTTGAGGTAACGATTGCTGGCTCTGAGCCAACAGTCCACTTCCTTGCTGGGCTCTGCAGGAAATCATACTCGCACATGGCTATACGACAACCTATTGTCGTTTGACCCCTGATCAAAGAAGGTTGATCACGTTTCACGTAGCGAATCGGACCAAGGAAGAAATAATAAGTCCAAGACCACCAGCGCAAGTAAGACCACGCACGTATTGAGCCCTATTCATCCCATATGGACAATATCAGCAATCTTCCAAAGGCAAGCATGATTAGCGTTGTAAAAGACCATGACTGTCCAATGATACAAGCTGGGGCACCGAGTACCCGACCAGCTGCCTTCTGTCAGTGAGCGTAGTCCGTGTAGGACCAAGGCGATCTCCTTTTCCCGCGTCATTTAAACTGCTCATGTTCCAGGGTTTAGTGGGTAACATAATCTAGATCAATCTGCATCGAGTCATCGTTGTAGTTCGTTGTCCGCTTATCAACGATGATGATTTCGAGTGACGCAAAGATAGTTCTTTGTGAACCAAAATCAAAAGGTTATAGTAGGTCGTTGTTCCAAGTAGGACTGACTTCGGCTCCTTCGCCCGAAGAATCGGGAAGCTTTTCAAACTCGATCAATTTTAACCCCGAGTTTGCCTCACTAGGTGTCGTTTCGCTTTGGTCGTCATGTTCGACTGGCGCAAGCCAATTTGCAACTGTAATGTCCATAGTGTGAGTATCACGGCCGAACTTAGACCATTTGGTGCACTTGCACCCTTCCTTCTGGCACATATGGCCTAAATAGCACTTCAGAGACCGACATTGGGGACCCCTGGGACACGGACGCTGCCGCATCATGTATCTCATGACGGCGAGACACGCGGGGTCGACATCACTAGTACTGTGGTCGAACTCGCAACTAAGGTCACTGCACTCCCCACCGAGGTTGAATTTGTTGCATAGTTTCTGTTGTTTGATACGTCGGTTATAGGTCTCCCACGCTGCCTTAGATGGCATGGGGCAGTAAGTATCGATACGATCACCGTCTTTATTGACCGGGATGAGTTTCTCGGCTGTCGAGTCTATGGAGGGAAGATACTTGGCGTAGTGCCGCACCGTTGACAAAGTCTGTGACGGTGTACCTTCCTGCGTTCTAGAAAGTTGTTGGCCTGGCATTGTATGGTCCTTGGTACAACTATTGCCATATTTGCAGATGCCCTATATCGACGTCATTAGCTTGTTGCTTTTTCCAGGAAGGTAATATGGGACCCAAATACTTTTTGAAAATGTTTGCAGACTGGGGCCCTAGGAGCCGAAGCGAAAGCTGTAGTAGGAGAAGGAGCAGAAGCTGGAGGTTGACGTTCGCCCAAGGGAGCGGACATGAATACTTCTGGCATCTCCCCGATCGGCAAATCCAGTGTTTTGAAATCTAGATGAAAGGAGGCAGCTTTGAGAAGAGTAATACGATTGCGTTTGGCAATATAAGGAGTCAACAGGGAGAGGTAACCTGTATCATGGCAGCCCGCGAAGAAAATGTGCTTGCACTGACTATTATCGGCAAACAAGCGAAACATCTCTTCCCGTAACAAGCAATCAGTCTCGATGAGCGCAAGTTCGTGAATTCTGCGAAACCATACCTCTAATCTTGAAGTCTGCGCCCTCCTTCTTTTCGCCCGCGTCGATGAAATCGAACAGATCCTGAGAGCGAGTGAAATTGGATGCAAACGTCGACAAAGAACGTGCCTCGAAGCCCACCAGTCCAGCACGGGCCAGAGTCTTCGACAGGGCCAGGAGGTTGCAGTAGATCCTCACCATTACTCGGCATTGACCTGCCTGGTCCGGGAGTCGTTCGTGCAAAAGTCTTCTAATGGACTCGCTCATGAGCTGAGCGGCAGTGACGCCTCCATCGCTGCCCGCCTTGATCAGGTGCTCCTTGAACTTGATACCGTCAGCTCTACGGAAGCTCCATCAGAGGGAGTCTAACTACTCACCAGATATCCATCGCCATCTACCAGCACCAGGACGAAGGGGTTACGTTCCTGCCAGATTACTGTAAGAAGTCAAGAATCTCTTGTGTCGTAAGGCGGACTTGAGCTCACCTGTCCTTTGGCTAGATTCTTCCATTTCTCTCGGTTTGCTTTTTCCTCCTCGTAATCGCTCTTAAGACCATTGTAACTCTGCAGCAGGGATTGGAATTGCTGCAGTAGATTTTGAAGATTCTCATGATGCTTTTGGTCCTCGCGTACGGCGGTACCGACTTGGCCTTCCAAAGCGCGAATTTCAGCTTCGCTCAACATTTTCTCTGCCGTATTGAGAAGCGTTAAGCGATATCTGGCGAAACTGTCAAGGCAAGTACATGGGCAATTTGATTTCCCTTAGCACGTGAGCCCTTCACCATGTAGAAGGTTGAAGAATTGAGAAGTATGCTGAAGCAGAAGGAAATAGGTGAGCAATGAGTCTTATGGAAGAAGAATTATGCAGCTTTCTGGGCCCAATTTGACTGATAACAGCATTGGGCTGGTGTTGACAGCAGGCTCCCATTCATATTGTTTAGCTGCAAAAACACAAGGCAGTTAGCCGAACGGAGACTACCAGAAACTTTGTGCCTTGTGGGTACGGAGGCCCACTGGGTGAATGGCCTGAGTCTGTCGACCAGTTGCCAACTTTAGTATACTCCGTGCCTTTGCTTGCTATTCTCTTATCGGGGGAAATGGCATGGAGAACATAACGAATAACACAAGTCATTTCAGTCTCAAAATGGATACTTTCGCGTGGACTGGCTTACCATAGTAAAGCGTATAAGGATAGAAGGGAATCAAAAATCAAAACAAAAAAGATATCAAATAGCATGTCCTGGTTTCGATCCAGGGACCTCCGGGTTATGAGCCCGGCGCTCTTCCCCTGAGCTAACATGCTTGGGATTGATGAAAACAAATGTCGTATTTTGATTTATAAACCAAATGTTACTGATAAAAATTGTACCTACAGAATTAGAGTGAGTACGGACTGTCATCGCATGAATTGAATCAATCTGTGAGGGTAGGTAATAATTGGTGTCAAGGTTTAAGCAGCCTCTCCGCTTCATAGTATAATCTCCACTCTAAAATAAAATTGATTCCCCGTTGGGGTGGAACAATGTGATTTCTTCAGGCAAGGAAACACTTCCTCAAATATTTATCTATACGGATGTTGTCATCAAGAACACAATAGGGCGCCGACAACATTACGACAGCAACCTGCTTTATCGACGAACGGGTACGATCTATGAGGCGTTGACTAATGTCCAAACTCAGCAAGACTTTTCACCGGTTTCAATTGCTGATAGTATCTCAGGTCCAGCCAGAACATGAACCCCATGAACATCACGGAGAACCCACCACAGAACACAAATACAATCAAGAAGTTTTCTTCTCTCGTGATGTCTTCTTCATACCTCCAGTCTCATAGATGATCAACTCATCGCGTTCCCACATCAACTCGACCGCAGCCCCACCGGCCCGACCAGGGTCACCAATAACACGACCTTCTTTAGCAAATCAAGCCATCCAACCTTGCCATAAACAACCAGATGAGCAGTTTTATACAGACTCAAGGCCCAAACCAGCACGCCCGCGGAGCCGATCAGATAATCCCAGCGCAGGAACACATGTACACCCTCCCCGATGTCGCTCACTTGCAATGCTGGCTTTGTCCAGGGCAAGGCAATCTGGAACACCTTGAACGGATGCAAAGCCGCTAACAGCCGCTTCTCAAAAATGAGGGGTGCAAGCACAGTAGCCAGAGAGACGATCCACGAGATGAGATGGGTCAACGCAGCGTTGGCGAATGCAAAGGCATACACGAATCGCAGCGACCGGAGATTCGCTCGCTCACCTTCAACCGACCGATCATTGCTCACAAAGGGACCGAAGACAAAGTTGATTATGGTGAGAGCAATCGCAACGTATGCCGGCCAGGGATGCCAGGAGGCAATGAAGATCTGCTTCATGTCGACGGTGACTTGCTCCGAAACAGGCAGAATCATCAGCAATGTAGGAACCATGAATCCAAGGATAAAGACCAGAGGGATGGCATTCAGAACTGTGCGAGGAATGCGGATGTTCTCAGCATTAGGGTTGCGCGCGGTGACGGAGCTGTACAGCTGGAAAGCGCAGTACAGGGGCGTGGCGAAGGCGAAGGTGAGTACCTGCGCTAGGAGGCCGAAGATCGTGGGACTGTCTTCCTGTCAGCTTCTTCTGTCATAGATGTATGTGACTGAGGGTTACCGACAATGCAGCGATCGTCCAGGCATTTCCACGTCTCCAGGACTCCAGAGTCACGAGCGTCCAGGCAGCACCAAAGGTGCCAGAGAAGGCGACGGAATGCAGCGTCAGGGTAGGATTACTGCCATCCGTGGCAGGCCAGAAAAAGGTGGTCAACGCAGCCAGCACATTATCCACCTGCGCAATACCCGTGTAGACGGTGCGCAGAGGCTCGTTGCTGCCTGGCAGTGTCTTTGCCGAGATGGCTTCCTGTGCCAGACGATTCAAGCCATTGATTTCGGCGAAGTAGAAGATGGCGTACAGCGCGAACACGCTGAGCAGGGGAAGGACTAGCTTAGCCGTCATCTTGCATGCAATGGACGTTCTGGTACGTAAGGCGACCGGCATACGAGTGAGACGTTTTAGAACGTTGGCATTGACAAATTTATAATTGATTCTCAAGATCTCAATCTTACTTTCTGAGCTCGGTTGACAGCGGCATGGACTCACACAACATATTTCCTGAATTGGCAAGCCTTGCGAATAGTGTGGAGGAATAATGGATCACCAGCCAATGTTTGGGGTTTCAGGTGTTCATGTCTGCCGCAATAGATCTCCAAGCTTTATACCGAGGCAGTGGGAACGATCACAATCTCCGGTCGGAAAGGAACACGGTCAGTGCACATCATCCACAATTCACATGGTGATAGGTTCGCCAAATGTTCTAATGTCTCGATTCACAATGGCTGGCCTATCGTCCTAGAAGACCATAAATGGTACCTTTGTTGGCGACCCATGACACTTTTCCTGCAAGCGAATTGTGTCTGCGAAATTCATGTCAATAAATAATGGCATCCTCCCCTTAAGCTGCTGTCTAGGTATTGGTATCTCGACACAGACACGCTAATCCCCGATTCTTTTTGTTCTGCATCTGTTCGAAGAACCACCAAGCTCGCAATATGGTCTCCGATCTGGTGTCTTGAGCACCGCTGGGAGTGAAGAACGTGTGCGCTGTGCGATCCCACCGCTGGCTTTGGAACAAGTTTAAACACCGGCCAAATGTCGCGAGCCGTCATAGGGAAATGACCCGTGGTGATCTCGAGGATCGATCGGATCAGTCGCTATATCGCATGGATCGATATGAAAAAGCCAGGCAGATGTGTGCTTTATACACCAACGCAGGCGATCAAAACGGGTTCGGAATTCAATCCGTTCTGAAAGTGGTTATACATATGAAGCGAGCCAAATGCTTCTCGAACCGTCGCGGTGAACAGATCTACGGATTTCAGCCTGAATGCAAACACTCCGGTTGATATCAGGCTATATAAAGAATTATGGCGGCGCGTTGAATGCAGTATCATTCTCATGAGTAGGTTCTCTCGCAGAGGAGAGATATTGGACGATGGAGTCTCTCCCGGAACCTAATCCAGTTAAGAAACTCACAATCGCTGAATATCTTCAAATTGCCGTGACAGTTTGCTTTCGAGTGCCATGGACCGTCTTGACTACTCTCTTGCGCCGCTGGGCGCCATGGTCTACTTATCACCCGCCCCCGCTTAGGGAACACATCTTCCGGCACGTCATGACCTGGTGTGTATCTATCAAAACCAATCCTTGACTATGTGTTTCTGTATCGATGAATATTCATACGTTGTCAATTCTCTCGTAGTCTGGGAAACAACACCCCCGGATCGCTCTGGGACAACGTCGCCGATCGAACCGGCCAGGACCTGCTCACCTCGAACCGCTACGGGCATCTCAAACGCCAGATCTACCAGAGCGTGCGCAGAGCAGACTTCTGCGGCTTCTGGCTTTGCCGTGGACTGTCAGCCGAGGCGATCCACCCCCGCGATGCGGATCTGGTGCTCTTCCACTGCCACGGCGGCGGATACGTGAGCTTCCACCCGTCTGCCGGAGCGCCAGAACACCTTTTCATGGCGGAGCTTCTCCAACGGCGCGGGCTAACGGTCGCCATTTTCTCGCTGGACTACACTCTCGCCCCGGCAGCGACGTTTCCGAAACAGCGGGACGAAGCGATTGCCGCCTACGACTGGATCAACAAGGAGTTAGGCGTGGACGCATCCAAGATCGTGGTGATCGGCGATTCTGCCGGGGGCCATCTGATCGTGTCTCTACTGACAGGCCTTCACCAGCGCTATCAGGGGCCCAACGATGAACGCGGCGATCACCATCGAGACCGACCCACCGGAGCAATCCTGGTCAGCCCCTGGTTGAATCTACAGACGTCCCATCCACGCGCGCTGGCGCTCCACTGGGAGGAGCGGCTCTTCAAACGCTCGCTAGACAAATGCTGCGAGCAGGTGATGCGGGACACACCCGCCAACATCGCCGAAGTGTACAGCAACTTCGCAGTCGACGTGGCAGCGCGCGGATCCTGGAAGGAGATACTCCCCGACCGCACGTGGGTCTCGGCCGGGGCGGAGGAGCTGGTATTCCTGTACGACATTGAGGATTTCGTGGCGCATGCACGGCGTAACGGGGCGGAAATCGCGGTGGATGTGACTGAAGGCAAGAATCATACGTGGCAGTGCTCCGAGGCGCTCGGGCAGCATCCGAGATTACTGGCGATGAAGCCCGGGGAGGATGACGAGGGGCTGATGAGGGGGTATCGTCGGATAGCGGAGGAGATTCTGAAGCTTGTCGATCGATGACAATGTGGCTGGGATGATTATCTAGATGAAGCGCGTGGGATGATGGAATGAAGGGAGATCTGTTTCATTGGTGGGGGGCACGGCTCATCTGCGGAGTGATATCATATATCAAGATCCAGTTTCAGATCATAACATCAATCATCTATATAAGGTCGACAACTTATGGACCTTTTTCTGGCAATCCAGACAGGATATCCCAACCCTAATTATCTTCCCAAAGAACCAATCCGTCATCTACAGACTACAACCTATCAAAATGCCTGCTGTTATGGCAAGTCTCACAACTCCGTCGAGCGAAATCGATCTTCTAACAGTCACGGGAATTAGATCACCCTTAACTCAAGTGCGACCGACGACCAAATCAAACAGTAAGTGTCGCTGTCGCACTAGCGATGCCAGGCCATGCCATGCACTGACAAACCTGACAACCCAGGGTGAAAGACAAAATCACCTCAAGCGGCGGCAGCATCAAATCGGACTTTGAACTAGTCAAGGGCTTCACGTTCGTCTACCCGTTCTGAGACAGTGGATTGCGTTAACTAACGAGGTCATTCCAGTGCCGAGGTTCCAGACGGGATGGTGGGCACCTTGTCGAGCCATGACCTTATTGAGAATGTGGAGGAGGATGCGAACGTTAGCACTCAGCGATAGATATAGACATAGAGATACCTTCTGTACGATATGAGATCTAGGTATAGATACAAACTATATACACCTCCAGGAGATAGAGGCATCCATCATGGCTTATACGCATCCAACGCCGCATACACAGCATTGACATACTTCACTGTGCGTGGACTTCCCAGCGTCCCAGCCCCCATCTTATTCAACGTATATGTAATCGTCACCTTACGATCGAGATCCATGATGGCGATTGACCCACCCCAGCCTCCCCAAAAACACACTTTCCCTTGCGGTATCCACTCTAACGCCTTATTCTCCGGCACCGGTAAGCCCATGCCAATCCCAAACCGGAGAAAGGCCCCCAGGACCAGATCCACGCCGCTGACCTGCTCCTGGAAGATCAGATCGATCGTTTGCGGTGAGAGGAAGCGCTTCCCGTTCACGCTTCCGCCCAGCGTAACCATGGAGGCAATCTTGTTGATCGCTCGCGCATTGCCGAATCCGCCTGTCGCACCTTGCTCCGCGCGCCGGAACTCAGGCGTCATGCTCGCCGTCGCGTCGGCGGGGGTCCCGCGGAATGCGCGCATAGTGATACTCTGCGGATCGAGGGGGGAAACTCTATTGCAGGCGGGGCCACGATATCTGCCGTGCGCGGCCAGTCCTTCTCCGCGACGCCGAGCTGGAAATCCGCACCGAGCGGGGTCGCAAGCTCGTCAGCGATGAACTGCGTCAGCGACTTGCCTGAGACGCGCCGGACCAGCTCGCCGAGTAGGAAGCCCTGGGACGAGAGGTGGTATCCAGAGGCGGAGCCGGGCGTCCACCATGGCTGTTGCTGGATGAGTTCCTGCGTGGCCAGGGGCGTGTCGTAGTATTCTTCTGGGGACAGGGGCGGATCCCAGGCGGGTAGGCCGGCGGCATGGCTGAGGAGATGGCGGACCTCGATGTCCTGCTTGCCATGCGCGGCGAACTCGGGCCAGTACTGGGCGACTTTGGCGTAGGGGTCGAGCTGGCCGCGGTCGACGAGGGTGAGTGCGGCGAGGGCAGTGACGATCTTGGTGACGGACCAGACGGGGGTGATGGTGTCTCTGGTCCAGGGCTTTGTGCGCGCAGTGTCTGCGTAGCCGCCCCAGAGGTCGACGACGGTCTCGCCGTTGATGTTTACACAGATGTCGGCGCCGAGTTCCTCGCCGGAGGCGAGGCTCTCCTCAAAGAGGGCTTTGAGGGAGGAGAAGGCCGGATGGCAGGTGCTTTGGACTTGTGCCATTGTGATTTGACCTGTAGACAGATGTTGATGTTGAGAATTGAGGATGAGATGAGGCAGAGAATTTCACCATGAGGGGGACAGCGGGGTAGAGTTGTTTTATTACTCGTACTAGGCCGCCATGATTGAGTCTAGCGGGCCATCAGCTGGCCATCAGCTGGCCCTCAGCTGAGACCATCGCAGACTAGAATAGAATGTATGTTTGCTCAGGGTTAGTGCTTATATCCCCCCGAGCCACGTGTACGCAGAACCAATCGGATTGATGGGTCATGAATCATGACATTCGATCCTTATCGACGGAATCACCTGGACTGAGACACAGACAGAAAATATGAAGCACACAAGCGACGATTGAAGAAGACTGTAGCTGAGGAATAAGCCTTGCCATAAGTTAGTATCAACATTCAGAAATAATATCGAGAGGGTTGTTCATAGTGCATCCAACACCAAGGTCGACTTGTATGGACATCATGTACCATGAGCCTCAATAGTGCTTTCGGGCACTTGATCTCTTTACAAACCAACATCTGAAAGACATGCTGATTCAGTCTCAATCTACATTCTGAAACCAATCAATCATGAAGCCGAAGTGTGGATAAACATTCCGAGCCGCTGTACTCAACCGTGGATGCTCCGGGTCGATGACATCAAGTCTCAAAGTGACCGAAACCACCTTGATCGCGATGTAGACCTTCTAAACCCGAATTCTGCACACAATTGCAAGTTGCGCACCTGTACAAAATGTCATCTCCCAATGTAAGAGCCAGTAGCCTCTCGCCCGCAACCTCCGACCTGGAAGAGGCTCCCACCTTCGAGGATATCCGCTCGGAGCCTGTCAGCCGGCGTCAGACCAACATCGATCTCGCTCGAGTAGAGAGTCTTCGTCTGACACACAGATCCACGGTCGGCTCCTCTGCAGGGCCAGCGCCTCGAGAAGAATGGCTTCCGTTTGGCGACGGGAAGGACTATCCTCCCCTACTACCTGATCCGGAGAAATACGTTGTTGGATTTACCGGAGTAGATGACCCAATGCACCCGCATAACTGGTCGATGTCTACAAAGTAAGTTGGCCATGAGACTCTCAGTCAGAATGCGACGCTGATGGCTGCTTGCCAAAGGGTGCTGCTGTCCGTCATCCTAGCATACATTACCTTCACTGCATCGTTTGCCAGCGCCATCTTCTCATCCGCTATCGGCGCCATCGCGGAGAAGTTTAGTATCAGTACAGAAGTTGCCACCTTAGGGGTCACGCTTTATGTGCTTGGATTCTCGGCAGGACCAACAATATGGGCCCCTGCCTCGGAGTTGATCGGGCGACGGTGGCCGATCACGATAGGAATGGTCGGATATAGTATCTTCACCATTGGGACTGCAACGGCAAAAGACACGCAGACCCTCTTCATCACCCGCTTCTTTGCAGGGCTGTTCGCCGCCAGCCCCTTTGCCATCGTGCCGGCTGCCTTTGCGGACATGTACAACAACAGCCAGAGAGGTGTAGCGATCGCCATGTTTGCAATGGCCGTCTTCGTTGGCCCCTTCGCATCGCCGTTCACCGGGGGCTTCATCACAATGAGTTACCTGGGTTGGCGATGGACCATGTACATTTCCGCCATCATGGGGTTCTTCGGTGTCCTCCTCCTGATCTTCTTCTACAAGGAAACATACGCTCCAGTGGTTCTGATGGAGAAGGCAGCAACGCTGAGGCGTCAGACACACAACTGGGGAATCCACGCAAAGCAGGATGAGGTCGAGCTTGAGCTTAACGATCTGATCACGAATAACTTCAGCCGGCCCATTCGCATGCTTCTGACCGAGCCGATCGTGTTCCTCATCACAATCTACATGTCATTCATATACGGGATCTTGTATGCACTGCTCGGAGCCTATCCGATCGTGTTCCAACGCACCCACAGAATGAATCTGGGCGTGGGTGGCCTGCCGTTCATCGGCCTGATCGTGGGCGAGTTCGCTGGCGGAGTCTACTCCTTGATTGACGCCAGGAATTATGTGCGCAAACTGCGCAATAACAACGACATTCCTGTCCCCGAGTGGCGACTACCACCGGCCATCGTCGGCGGTATGGCCTTCACGATCGGCCTGTTCTGGTACGGCTGGACGGGCTGGACACGCTCGATCCACTGGATGGCTCCCACGGCTTCCGGGGTATTCACCGGATTCGGAATCTATGTCATCTTTCTGCAGTGCTTTAACTATTTGATTGACTCGTACCTTCAATTGTGAGTACGTACCCGGTGCGTTCGGTTTCGAGCCGTGTGTTAATGTGTACAGTGCGGCATCGGTCTTCGCTGCCAACACCATCCTTCGATCAGCGGTTGGCGCTGGTTTCCCACTCTTTTCGCGCCAGCTCTTTACGAACCTTGGAGTGCAATGGGCAGGAACGTTATTGGGATGCTTGGCGTTCATTATGATTCCAATTCCGTTGGCTTTTATCAAGTTTGGTCCCAGGCTAAGGCGGCGAAGCAGGTTTGCTCCGTCGCCAGTTGTGTTCGAAGAGAAATCGGGGTAGTTCTGAACAAGAGGGATCCTTGAATTCATTGCAACTTTGCAGGAGGATGATCAATGTTGTACAGGCAGCTGGACGAAGGGCGCAACATCTGCAACAACTAGCGAGATGATATAAACAAAAGAGAGGAAACGAGACAAACAAACAGACTGACCATCCAGCTGACCATCTCAACCATCCTTCGATTCGCAAGGCAAGGCAATAGCGGACACAGGATGCAGACACTCTGATCATCAGTGCTGGCACTGAACTGTTAGCCGCATCATTTTGATTTCGATTATCTTCCTGGACACTTTTAAGCTTTACTTCTCTGCTTACCTCCCCGGCTTTAAGCTGCACTTCCCCTGCTTTTATTTCCGTAGGCTTACATCCGGTTGCATGATGATGTCGGATTTAGTGGTTGGGAGTCCCTGAATCAGAAATAGTGATACTATTTACTGCATCTGGCCATGATCGCCGCCAACAGCTTCGTGACAACTGTTTAATCCGCACCTCCAATGCAGACCGTCTCTTCGTTGGATCACGATGGCCCCAGGTATTAGATTGCTGAGAAGAGTCAATAAGACAAGGGCCAAGATGCGCTAACGAATGTATGAAAGGGAATAAGAGGCCCTCCGTTTGGAGAAGAGGAGATTGTCCATCCCGCTTATTTATTACATTGTGTCATCGCGAGTTCAAAAACTTCATTCAATTCCCGTGTTCTATTGAAGCTTGCAAGATGGTGATGCTCCGATTGACCGCCGAGCAGTACCAGAAGCTGCTGATCCTGGTAGACGAGAAGACGTGCATTGGCAAGACCTATATCATCACCGGCGGCAACTCGGGCCTGGGCCTCGAGATGGCGAGACACGTCGCTGCGTTGGCCGAGTGTGTCGTGCTAGCAAGCTCAACACCAAGCCCACTCTCATCTTCATTGTCAGTGTCCCTGAGTGCATCGCCAAGGGCAAGATGGACAAGAGCCGCAATGGCGTCATCTTTGACGGGCTCAACGACCAGAAGCGGGCGGATATGGACTCGAGGTGAGATTTACACTCCTATCCCGTCTTCTGGACTTGCAACTGACATGGTTAAAGATACGCCCTCATCAAGCTCGTAGAAGAGTGCGCCGTACGCCAGTTCGCAGCCCTCTGCCCAGCCGAGTGCACAGGCGTCGTCATCACCATGGTCGCGCCTGGGCTCTGCTCCACCGGCCTCGGCCGCGACACCCGGACCTTCACCAAGATCATGCACGAGGCGCTCCGGGCCATGATGGCACGAACCGCAGAGGAGGGCAGCCGCACCATCCTACACGGGCTGCTGGTGGGCGAGGAGGGTCACGACGAGCTGCTGTCCGGCTGCAAGATCGAGGAGTGCAGGGGGCCCACGTGGCTCACCAACGAGGAGGGCCAGAAACTGCAAAAGGGCATCTGGGACGAGCTGGTTTCCAGGCTGGAGACTGTGCAGCCCGGCTGTATTTCACAGCTCAAGTAGAACTTTTCTATCATCCCCCGAGCCGTACCACAATCCCCGATATGCATTCCAAGCGACTAGAAGTATGTTACAGTAATATTAATGACCCACTTTCGTGATGATCCTCATGAATTGCCTCATGGAATCTCTCTGCTCTCTAGTCGTACATCTTCCCATAGGCGGTGACCTGGAGCTCCGTGCAACGCGAATATCCAAGGAAACTGACTTAGCTGTCACTGAATGAAAGCCCAGTTATCCAGCTCCAGCCTCTCACAAGTGTCGGCAATTAATGGCGACAGCCACCGATAGTCTTTGAGATCCAACACTGATATCCCACTTATAAAAAGAATCCATAAGAGTAATGGCGAATCAAAGTCCGAAGACTCCGATGCTGTGACGCAAAGGTCTTGCAGAGCGCTTCCCAGACGATCAGAAAGAAGGGGGCAGCTAGATCCGTCACGGTTATACTCGGGTAGCAACGTCGTCATAAATGCCAGCATCGCAAGGTATGTCATGTCGATATAACGTCCACCGGGCTCGGAAGAGGGATACCCTAGAGGCGAAACATCCACGAGGTGATAAAGGAGCGACACAAGTGTCTCCGTATAGTCTAGAGGATCAAGTTTCAGTCTTTACCTCCTCCCTACGCCGTTTAGCAGTTGAGAAGCTAAACAAATCGAGCATGATGGGCGGCATCCAAGAAGCAGCTCTGGGAAACTGCCCGCTGCAGACGTCGGGGTCGCATAGGACCATGTGAACGGGTACTTCATCGCTGCGAAACAGAGTATGTGTGCCATTTTGCATTGCTAATTCAACATCGAGCCTGATAATTGAACTGTTAACTTTACCCAGAAGAGAGGAACAAGAAAATGAGGCAAAGTGAAGGCAAGTTGAGAGCTACTGTTATGTACCTCAACGACTTCAGTGCCAGCGCACGGTTCTCTTGCATCAGCCTGGCAATTCCACCCCGCAGCTGAATCATGCAATAGAGCCCGTGGAGATGGACCGGTCCCGTTGCAGGCTGGTGATGTACTTGCTGGTAGATGGCGAGGCTGACCACAGCAGCTATGGCGCTATCGGAAACAGAAAAGGGACCCGACAGTTTAATGTTGACTAAAGCATACGCCTGCGAGAAGTGGTGAAGAGTTTTGGAGACGATATTGCTGGTTTCCGCTGGAGGAAGTCAACATAAGACGAAGATATAGCCAAGGTGCTATGAAAATCTGTATTTCCGGTGATCAACGGTGTTGCATGGACCGGCTGGCGATGCTGTCACTCACATGCTTCATCTGCCAGAATGTAGTTGACACAGATCGACTTTATAATGTCGAACTTGGTACAGAACTGTAGCGGAAACAGCGCATCACTGATGTCGAAGAACCCTGTAATCCAACGTCAGACACAGGATGTGGACGACCAGCCGAATAACAAAGGCAGCATACACCGATGCATGAGCACCGTGGACTCGGAGTCGAGCTCTTGAGGGAACGGAGTGAGACACAGATCGCCCACAACACCGGTCGGGGCATCACATATCCAGATCCTGAAGCATACAAGAGGTGTTTGAGCTCAGTCTTCTGCTTCTTGGTCGATCGGCGCTGCTTGCCCGCCCGCATTCTTCCCTCGCATGACGTGGGAGCGGATGATGCGCCTGTCAGAGCTGCCTATCCCGCTGGGGCTCTGGTTAAGAAACTGCAGCGCCATGGCAACAGTGCTAATTTCATGCTATTCTCCGGCAGTCCTGGCTGTCCAGCGCGTCCCTTCTCTCGAGGCTCCGATAGCGCAGATCGTGCACGAAGCGCTGTTGGTTGACGATGATGACACCGGCGAATTGCTCACCTCAGCTGATATTCCCCGGAATAATAGTTGCATTAGTTAGCTAACTACGCGGCACTAGCGCCACTATGCCTGATTGCAAGGAGGTGAATGAAACATCCCAATATCTAGATACAGCAATAAGCGAGATCACGTGTGTAAGCAGAACAAACAGGACAAACATTAATGCATCAGTAGCAGATGCCATTGGCACATGATTAATAGCTTGTGTATCTGCAGAGTCCCTTGACTCATGCTCTCCACTGTGAGTTGACAATAATAAACATTATTATGATATGATCAACAGTGAGCTGTCAGAGTGAATCCTTATCAACTGCTGATAACCCCAGCATCCTGGAGATAGGAGATCGGAGCGATACGAGAACAACGCTAGTTTCAGCCTACTAGTATCTGCCTTAGCATCACTTGGACGTCAGCCATGCACGAGCTTGTCTAAATCCCTCGGTGATATCCGCTGGACACCTTACCATTGACTTAGCTCCCTTGTTGCGTTATTCTGCAGTCATAGAAGCTACATGCGCAGACATTGAACCTATCTATTCCCACATATTTTTCGCCATCAACGCCATCGAGACCCGAGATATCCGTCGACCAATGTGCTTCTGGCCTTTTGATTCGACCCGCTGAAACCACCGTCCCGATCGGCAATTTACCACACAGAACAGAGGCCTCACACTGGACAGAACCACGGATGGCCAAGGATTGCCAAGCTGGAGACCTCAGAGATAAGCCATTGATCGAATCAAATTCTTCCTTTGGAGAATTTTTTTCTCCATTTTTTTCCCGTTTTCTCAATCGGTCGCGTGGTTGGTCATGTATGTCATGGAGGGAACTGAAATAAAAGTGGCATCGCGTCTCCAATCTGTGCGCGGGTTTTTCCCTCCGTGACTATCTGTCTGGCTTCAGGCTGGTACCTCTTTCTCCCTTTTTCCTTTCTTATTTACTGTCGCATCATGGGGATCACTCAGGCGGTCGAGAGAATCAATCTCCGGGTGGCTCAGAGCCCTGTTGGGCGATGGTTTCGCCTGGAGAATTCAGGACATGTCAGTATACTTCTACCTCGACTTGCGGAGGGTTAGGTTCAAGAGCTCGGAAGAAAAGCTTACCAAATGAGACAGCCGAAAGAACGCAAAGGCAGCTACTTCTTCACCGAAATTCGCGCCGGTCTCGCTACCTTCTTCGCTATGGCCTACATCATCAGTGTCAATTCCAACATCACCTCCGAATCGGGCGGCACCTGTGTGTGTCCCCCCGAGAGCCAGGCCGATCTCTGTAACAGCAACACCGAGTACCTGCTCTGTGTCCAGGAAGTCAAGCGCGATCTCGTGACTGCTACGGCTGCCATTGCCGCATTGTCTTCGTTCTGCATGGGTCTTTTCTCCAACTTGCCCGTCGCCCTCGCCCCCGGTATGGGTCTCAATGCCTATTTCGCTTACACTGTCGTGGGTTACCACGGCTCCGGCATGATCCCGTATAGTCTTGCTCTTACCGCCGTCTTTGTCGAGGGTTTCGTTTTCTTGGGCTTGACTCTGCTGGGTATCCGACAATGGTTGGCGCGTGCATTGCCAGCCTCGATCAAGCTCGCCACGGGCACGGGTATCGGTCTATATCTCACTCTTATCGGATTGAGTTACAGCGCAGGTATTGGCTTGGTTACTGGCTCTACCGAGACCCCGCTGGAATTGGCAGGTTGCATCTCTTCTCTACGTGATCCTACAACTGGCATGTGTCCCAGCGATGCTAAGATGCGGAACCCGGCGATGTGGGTGGGCATCTTTTGCGGTGGTGTGTTCACTGCGCTGTTGATGCTCTATCGGATCAAGGGTGCTGTGATCATTGGTATCTTGCTGGTTTCCATCATTTCCTGGCCGCGCCCTACACCAGTCACCTACTTCCCTCACACGGAGCTGGGTGACAGCATGTTCGATTTCTTCAAGCAGGTCGTGACCTTCCATCCGATCAAGCATACCTTGGTCGCTCAGGACTGGAGTCTCTCAGGCCATGGTGGGCAGTTTGGATTGGCCTTTATCACGTTCCTGGTAAGTCCGACGTTTCTGAAGTTATACGCTATCCTTTACTGATCAGCGTGTAGTATGTTGATATTCTCGACACCACCGGTACTCTGTACTCTATGGCCCGGTTTGCCGGAACCATCGATGAACGCACTCAGGATTTCGAGGGTAGTGCTCTTGCTTATGTATGTTTCCCACTCATTCAGTGTATTTTTTTTTTTTTTTTTTTTTTTTTTCTTCAATCAATCTGACTATGATCCCAGATGGTTGATGCAATCAGCATATCTATCGGTTCTCTCTTTGGCTCGCCCCCTGTGACGGCATTCATCGAAAGTGGTGCCGGTATCTCTGAGGGCGGAAAGACGGGTCTTACCTCCTGCGTGACGGGTATCTGCTTCTTCATCGCCGTCTTTTTCGCCCCGATCTTCGCCTCTATCCCTCCCTGGGCGACCGGCTGCACGCTGGTGATTGTTGGCGCCCTGATGTGCAAGGCAGCCGCCGAGATCAACTGGCGCTACCACGGCGACGCCATTCCCGCCTTCCTGACCATCGCCATCATGCCCTTCACCTACTCCATTGCCTATGGTTTGATCGCCGGTATTCTGAGTTATGTCCTCATCAATGCGACAGCCTGGCTCCTTGAGAAGGGCTCCGTCGGTCGGGTGGTGCCCCCGAACAAGGACGAGTCGGACCCATGGTCGTATAAAGTTCGCGGAGGATTTTTCCCTCCCTGGTTGCGACGGGCCGCTCGGGGCAAGAAGGACTTTTGGCGCGAGGATGAGGAGGAATCGGTGAATTTGGGGGTCGTGCCTGGTGGATCCGTCTCTTCGCATGACCGGCCGGAGGGAGGGAAGAGTGGAGTGGGTGTAGGGAACAAAAGCCTTTGATATAGCTTTGGTATAGTATAGCATGTAATGTAGTATTTCACACCACACCTAGGTAGTTTGCATCTCGGACTGATGACTCGGATGCCATATTATTTGATAGAAAAAGAATAAACAATCATGACTTTACTTTCGATATAGAAGGAATCCATTTCAACTTCTGAGATCCTAGTAGCCCAATATGAGTACATTCTACCTGAATTGAATGTGGCCACCCGTAATGTGTCGGAGAGAAGGCCGGGACTTGACTTCGGCATCCACGGACCACAAGACATCCAAGTATGACAGATATGTTGGAGTTAAATATCACAGAACCACAAGATAATAATAGCTAACAAGTAATATAGGAATACCACTATATATCTATATATCACTTCCAATAATTCATACCGCAAGAAATATCCAGAGGATGATTACAATACACGACTGCGGAGAAGCATGACAGCTCCATCCGCCAATCAGACGGGACCATTTACTTGGAACAGGCCTGGAATGGCGTAATTAATACCAGCTCTGTCACGGGCATTTGAGGTATCTTACAGGTCTGGTTCAGGGTTGATCGCATCTTCAAGTGCCCCTTCCGTCATGTTCGCATTAAACGCGATCGCCCTCTCCTTGTTCTACTTGATCTTCCCCTCCTTCTCTCACGTATTGGTTCTTCCTTGATTCCAGCTACCCGGAATGGCCTGAGTCCACAGAAATACCCCACCCATGGCCGAGTCCAAACCGTCTCCAGCCCCGCCTGGTGGCTCTGGTCCAAATGAAGCTCAGCAGAAGCGGAAAAACGTCGGTACAGCGTGCTCGGCCTGTAAAACGCGCAAGCTCAAGGTGTGTGACTGTCAGCTCCTCCATGACTCCCGGAGAAGACTACGGCGTTGTGCTAACCCCCAGTTCAAGTGCTCAGGAACCTCCCCATGCACCAACTGTATCAAGAACAACGTCGAATGTACCTTTGACGCCAGCGCCGATAAACGCCGCCGCGGCGCCCTAAAGCGCAAGGTCAACCAGCTCGAAGAGAAAGAGGACCTCCTGATCCAGCTCGTCAGCACCCTCCGCGAGAGCGGCACCCGGCGCACCATCCAGCTCCTCAACCTCATCCGCAGCAACGCCTCCCTGGCCGAAATCCAGCTCTACATAGACACGCAGCTCAAGTCCGAGCTGGAGCAGACACCGGAGCTGATCGAGGTGTGCAATGAGATACAACTGTTCGAGCAGATGGGGTCGCGGTCGCGGCGGCGTATTCTCGACTCGCAGAGGGCGTCCGTGGAGCCTTTGTTCCGTGTGCCGGCGGCCCCGTGGACGACCGTCACCGACGATGACGAGCATGTATCGCATTTGATTTCGCTGTGGTTTACGTGGGTTCATCCGTTCTATTACTGGATCGATCGGGAGTTGTTTCTGCGGGATATGCAGTCGGGGTCATTGGACTCGAAGTTTTGTTCGCCGTTTCTGGTGAATGCCATCCTGGCCGATGCGTGTGTAGGTAGACTGCGGTTGAGGTACTTGGACTTGCTGGTGACTGGTGACAGGCATACTCGGATAGTTTGGAGTCGGATGCTTCTTCGAGAGACACGGCCGCCCAGGGGGCCCGCTTCTACAACGAGGCCAAACGTTTGCTAGACAAGGAAGAAGGCAGAATCACCCTTGCGACTGCCCAAGGGCTGGGGGTTTTATGGATATGGTATGTTCCACTCGGTTGCCAGAACTGGCCCTCTGCTGAAATACCCCAGCGCTTCCATGACCAGGAAAGATCGACATGGCTGGATTCATCAGAGCCAACTCGCATACGCCGTTCAGGAACTATTTCCGAGCATCACGGCTCCGAAGGAGGCCGACGGTGAGGCGCTCGACTTGGCCCGAGCGGCCAATGTAACAATTTGGGGTTTGTTCAACATCGCCATGTACGCAATGCCGTGTTCTTTTACCAGTGCCGGACGGCTAGAACCAGGGACGACTGACCAGTCCCTGGACC